ATGCCGATAAGGGCGAGGGGCGGTGGGAGGCCGGGCTCGGGAGGGATGGCGAGGGCGAGGGCGGGCGGGGCGCGTAACCGACATCGCGTCGCCTGCACGCGCGGGGCGCGGCATGAGAGGGGAAGCGAAGGAGAGAGGAGGGAGGGGAGAGCGCGAGCCGGTCGAGGAGTTGGATGGGAGGGGGCGGGCGGTTGCGGCAGCGAGCTGGATTGGCAGGGGGGAGGCCCAGCTCCCGCCTCGCCGGTGCGGCCTACGCGCAGCCCAGCGCCCCGCGGCTGGCCGAGGAGGAGGAGTGCCTCCTCCCAGATCTCACCGATTTCTGCTTGGAAGCGGCCCATGGTGACGAGGTGCCGCGCGGGGCGAGGGTCAGTCGCCAGTCAATGAACTGGAGTTCCTCGCCGTCCCCGTTGCCGTTGCCGGGCGACATTTGAATTTGAACTCAAGTCCTTCAGTATCGTCTTTATAGGGCGTTATCTGGAGTGGAAAAATATCCTCTTGTGTCGTGATGGCTAGTGGCTCTGCGCTTTTTTCTCTCTTGTCAGGGTGACAGGGGTTCGAACCCCCGTCACCCTCTTTTTTCTTTTTAGCCTTTTTTCTTTTGTCCTTCTTCTTCGTTCTTACTAGTACATGTTATACGCTAGATCGAAAATTGTTTGTCCTTCAAAAAATACAAAAAATGGTTTATCTGTTGTTTTTTCTTTTTTGTCCTTTCTTTTCTTTATTCCTTATTTCTTTCTTAGTACACATTGTAATCTAGATTGAAAAAAACACACAAAAAAAGGTTTTATCTGTTGATCTTTTTTCTTCCGAGAGGCTTGTCTATTCACCAGTTTTAGTTTTATCTGATATATTCATATAATATGTGTAGGTAGTGATGAATTATAGGGAATATCACAAATGTGAGGATTCATGTACGCATGATGCCCAACTTTTTATATCCAAAACTCATTCGTATACAGAAAATGTTCCAACGGCTACAACTCCCAAAGAGAGAGAACAAAGAACAAGGAAACAGCAATACGGAATTACTTTACACAGTGTTTCTCGCAATAAAATAAAATTAACATGGCCATCTCTTTCACAGAAGTTGCTGCTGTCAAGCCAGATAATTGTATATCTGGGGGTTACTCCGGTCTCTCTCCAGGTACTCCCTGTCGATTAGGCTCTCTATTCTCTTCTTCATATCCGCTGGCTTAATCGGGAACTTGAGCTGAAAGGGGGAGAAATGGTGACCAGATACTAGGTCAAATTGCTGCACAGGGAAAAGGGTGCAGGAAAATCATATCAATCACTCCGTGTGTTACCTGCTGGAAAAGCTCGGTTATTAGAAGGGTGTGGCTGAGTGTTTTCCTCGTCTTCATAATTCGAACTATGGCTGCATCAACCTGCATATAATAAAGAGAACCAGGTCAGGTTATGCTTTGAGATTGTACGACATCAAAGACATGACTGGCAATCAGATTTCTGCAGAAAGATTTTTATAATTGTTTTGTATACAATACAGAGGACAAACTTTTCTACCATAAGCAATAAAGCACGATAATATCAGCAGAGCAAGCAAATGTAGAGCATAATAGCTACATCGACCATGCAACTACTAGTCTTACAGGGATAATTGATTTTTGCGAATTTATCTGCCTATTCTGACAGATAAACCACAAAAGTTTCTGTTTGCAAGTTCAGTCACCTGATACTGACGATCTTGAAATACTCTCTCAGTGGTGCTCGTGTTTTCTTCTACTGTTTCCTTCATCTGAATTGCATTCACCTGCAAAATAGAACAGCACCTTAGTTAAACACTTAAACTCGATGGCATCTGAAGTTGCCCTTCTCATCCAAAGAAAATTAAGGGGAAATATACCTTTATGCGATAAAGGGGAGCACTAAAATCTTCATTAAATACGAATTCGTCCTTATCATCTATATCTCGTCCTTTTGGTGTCTGAAACACAAATGATGATTAACCAAGCTTCATGCTGAAAATTTGTCAAAGACAAACAAAAGAGTCGCACCTTTTGGAGAACCCTAACTTTGCCACATGCAAGTGACTGCAGTGTTCTTCTCAATTCTTTATCCTCAATACCAGTCGACTCCTTTATGTCGACAAAGCTTAGCTTTTGTGCATCGTTGAACAACATCAGGACTACACTCTAATACAAGGAATAAAATCAGAGTTTAGTTATTGCTCTCAGATAATTACCACTATCATAAACCACGAGAGGGGGGGAGCAATAATCCAACCTGAAATAATGACACTGCAAGTTCCTTTCTACCTTTGGGGAACTCTACTTTTAATACACAATGACCCAAAGAATTCTGCCACATTAGACGCCTTCCACTGTACTTGCTCAAATAGAACTCTTTAAATATATCCTGTCAAAGAGAAGGGTTTAAAAACAGACTTCAAATTTGCTGTGACCATGTCAAGTCAGCCCAGACTAACCTGATACACATTGAGTTCATGTGGGAGCTTCACATCCATCGGTGGATATGTCGGCCAGTAGCTGCAATTCAGCAGATTGATCAGAACCGCATATATATGATCAAGACAACATCAATGATTGCATGTTAGTATGCTCCGCAAATGCTAACACTAATCCATTGCATTCAGATACCAGCTACATGCTCTTCTTATAATAAAGCCCGTACAAGTAACAATTTCAGACTCAAGACTTTAGACAACTGTCATATCAATATAATGTGCTTCTTAGAACGCATGTAAATGTGAGGGCAAAGGTTACTTACCCTGTTGTAAGCACATGTACACTCATTTCAATGCCAGTTGGAAGCTTTGTCCTTGCCTGAGATGATTGCTTGAAAGAATCATTTATTTCTTTGGATAATTCAATGTCCTGTGAACCAAATTGAGATATGAAGAATGATTATACATACTCCCTCTGTTCACTTTTATAAGGCGTTGTAGACACTTCAGACAGTGTGCAAAACAACTCAATTTCAGTTGTCTGAAACGACTTATAAAAGTGAACGGAGAGAGTAGTATAAATGGATATAGTATATAAGCAAGCATCAGAAGAAGACAGGATACAAGAGAATCATCAGTAACAAAAACTACGCTACCTTGAACATTCCCTCCAATTTGTTGGTAAATTGACTTCCGCACTCAGTTTTAAGCTGCAAACAGCAACATGTTCCTCAAATACATCATTATAATTTCAATCACATGTTAAATAGTAGCTTAACCCTCGGAAAAGAAATCATTACCTTTGTAATCATTGATTTCTCAGCATCTATTGATGCGCTCTTTCCCAGCAGCAACCTCTTAGCTAGATCCTTCTTGTAGAATGCCTCAAATACATCTTTTCCCTGTCCATGATGAAAATGCACTGCTTTTATTTACGCTACAGAATAAAGGGATGTACATTTAGGTTTGTTACATTTAATTCTCAGTTAACAGTTCTGTCCAGTGAGTATCACATTATGTACTGGTAGTTTTAGGGCCTTGGCTTCTCTTACTAGCTCTGTAATGTACGTTATGGGACGTCTGGGAATTTGGCCTGGCATCACCCTGCCTGGGAAGGCTCAATTATAGCACCTTTGAGGGTAGAGCTTAAACTCATTTAGGTATCGGTTTGTACATGTTGCATCTTAGATAACTGAGCTCCTAGCTCATCAGATCACAGCCTAGTTAAGCTATGTTCTGAAGACATGTGTGTCAAAAGAAACTGCGATGATCTCTACATTTTTCCTCAATTGATATGAATTTGCTTTCAGTCAGGCTCAGCCCAACCAGTTTCATGGATATAATTGCATCAAATGGCTCTGAGACTTACTTGTATAAATCGGAACAGAACCAAAACTTTGTCGAGTATTCCCTCCAATTCTTCTTCTGAAGTACCTTTATTTCCAGCTCGAAGTTTCTCATCGAGAAACTTTGCAATCAATTCAGCCGGTCGATTCTGTTGTTAGGGCACAAGCTGTCAGCCTTGATATTTTGAAAAGAAAACATAGCATACAGAAACTATAAGTACACTAATTTGGGTACTCAAGAGTCAAGACCAACATACAATTTTACCGAGTTAACAATGTGATGAAAGAACACGCGCATCAAAATGCGCCACATAAAATCCAGAATCATGCTTTATGCCTATCAAATCTCATGACTGACTGAAAAAAAGGGCAGCCCAGTGCACGTAGCTCCCGCTTGCGCAGGGTCTGGGGAAGGGTCCGACCACTTTGGGTCTTCTGTACGCAGCCTTTCCCTACATTTCTGCAGGAGGCTGTTTCCAGGACTTGAAACATAAAGCGTGTTGTACAAGACTAAAAGTATGACCCATATTTGTAAATTAAGCAATTGTAGGATTTAGCAAGCCACAAAAGAGAAGATATGACAGGAAAGACGGCACACGAACATTGTGAAACTGCATTCAAGAACAGATACCCCATGGAGCTCCATTTTGCGTTGTATAAACTGCTGCAGTACAGTAGAGCATTGTATGTGTAACAATACTCCCGTCTAAAAAAAAATTACTAACACATCACTACATCCATAATTTATCCATAATAAATATATATTAGCAAAATTAGAATGATATGGGGTATCTTTTTTCAAGACGAATGAAATACCATTATTTCCATATGGGTTATTACATATTTTACATACATTAACCTACCAACGTTTCAAATGTTTGACAGCGGATAACAACCAATATCTGGTGACAGGGTTACTGAGCGCGATTCTTGATGACAGTCTTTTGACTCTATGCTACTACTCCCTCCTGTCACAGATTTTTTATGCTTGATATTCAGTTTGAGATACAATTTTACCATCATTTTTTTATCAGTATTTTACTACTTCTGTGAAAATTGAAGACGTATATAAGAAAACATTATTTATTGCAAATTTCATCAAACAATTTCCATACAGTACCCAGCCGTATAGTAATAGTTATGAGAGAGAGAAAAATGCTGACTACAACTTCCCATGATGATTGGAAAGAGTAATAAATATTTGACCAACAAAAAATAAAAAAAGAAGAAAAAGCACTATTAGATGAAACTATATGCATGACAAGATATCCACTTAGTACTCAACAAAAAGAAATACATATAATGAAGCAGAATGGTAAAATCTGGCCCACCTGGCGTAGATTGATAAGATGCTCGAATGACTCTTTTATAGTATTGGAGAAAGCCTCATTTTTTGCAAAACTTTCTTCTAATATTTTATCAAGGGATGCCTTAAATTCCAGAAGAAAGGGAACCAAATCCTTGTCTTTCTCTTCATCCATGATAATGCCCTGGCCTGTGCCCCGGATATATAAACTAAGTGCTTGCTTTAGCATCTCAATGGCATCAACCCTCTGAAAAAGGGTGTACATCCTCGACAGGTCCGTTACACGATTTGCTTCCATAAGCACTGTAAATCCCTGAGACCCCACACATAAACGCCAAGAAACACAAAAGGATTCATAAGTGGAGTAGCAGCTAAAATAGATTAGTTACATAATAACAATAATACTGAGAAAGTGAACATCCTTATTGGTTTATCGGTCTTATAGCCAACAAGAATACTGTTCTACAATGCTTGTTCAGGCTACTTGCCACAAAAAGGTCTTACGATGCTAAAAGCAGATGCTCACCTTCTCAATAATTGCGGATGTGTGTCGCTGTAGCAATTGTTTTTCTGTAGTTGCTATAAGTGGCTTCCTCGTGTTAGCTTCCAAATACAGAATGCACCTATCGTGTTCTTCTTGCAACCTTGACTGCATTAACTCGCAAGCAATGCCATCAGTTGCAAGCTATACCCGACTTTCATGGTTCAGTATGAACAAAGTACATGGAGAAAAAAAGAAACCAATCATTACCTCTGCATGCTTTAGATAATCTGGAATATCAGACTGCTGCAAATATTTGACACCTTCAGTAGCATAAAACTCAGAGGTGCATTCAAGAAAAGGCTTTTCGAATGTCTCGGAATACATTCCAAGATCAGTAAACATCTTCAGAAGATGACTAAGTAATGTCTTATCTATTGCTTCACCAAGCCTGATCAGGAAAGAATAATCTTTGAATAAACAGTTTTCCAAGGAAACATAAAATAAATTGATATGAAATTTCAATTGCAGTGATCCTTCATGTTCACAATCCCCATCACATATAATAGAATAATGGATTTCGATACAGATTCTATGACCGGGAAAGAGAAGACAATTACATTCCTGCACAGGCTGGTGTTAGTTTATTTGATGAGCATGCATATAACAGATTCAGTGAAAAAAATCCAAGTGATCAAAACATGAAAACGCGATGAAAGAGGCATAATACATTCAGTAACCATATTTAGCCTTTACCCGTTGATATTAAGATGAATTTGGATCACAATAAAAAACATATAGGCCACACATTTGTTAATCTGAAAATTTCCCGTATTGAACACATATGCATCATTAAGCATTTGTGCTTTTTCACTTGCATTAGTAGCAGTGTTAACCATGATACAAATCATTCGCCTGATCCACATTTCTCACAGAATAGATATTCCAATCAAAGGGGTGATAGTAGGATTTAATGATCACACAAAGGATTGTTGCTTAGGATTCATCAAAAAAAATTACTACATAATCATATGGTATGTGAGGATATGATAAATATATCATTAAGTTGACTATAGTCACTTCGGATATGTACGATGGCAGCAGTGCGGATTTATTTGAAAGCAACAGACATCTGGTTATGTAAGAGAACCTATGCCAGGTGTAGGTCACTAGTAGTTCATCTAATTCATCTCCACATGTACCCCGCCCCCTTCTCCTGTCTCCAGATTTGTATATATAAGAGCTTGCAACAGAAGTGTAGGCATACCTCTCGCTCTCAATCAATCTTAAAAGACCAGTGACGGTTTTGTGTTCAATCTCCGGAGACAATGATATATGCTTGCGGAACAGCTGCAACCCCATATCCCACACTGAACAAAGATTTGCAACATTCTTGACATATTTTACATCAAGAAGTAAAGCGATACCACGGATAATCAACATCTGGTCGCAAAAATCTTGCCATGTTCTTTGCACCAACGACAAAAATACAACCAGATCTGGACTTTGACCCACTAATGCTGAGATTTTTGCTGATATATGTATTTCGCATTCTTTCTTGACTCGCTCGTATAAATTTGCCCCTAGCTTGTGTAGACAGAGATCACCAGCAGCCTATTGTGAAGAAAAAAATCCAGGCTTAATAATTAATGTGGGAACATCAGACCTTATGGGGTAAACAACAAGGAATAACCTGATAAAGTTTCTCAACATCGCAGGAAAGCTTCTGCTTGAGAAATATGGCTGTAATGGCATCCTTCAAAATTGCCCAAGTATCTTCCTCAAAGTTTTTGGGCAACTTTGGCTGACCTATACATGAAAAGCAGATGGATGATATAACATACTCCCTCCACTCCAAAGTATAAGGTGTGCTGATTTTTTCAAAGTCAAGCTTTCCTATGTTTGACCAAGTTTATAGAAAAAATATCAACATCTACAATACCAAATAAATAAATTAAAGGACAGAACCAGTGCTAGAAGCTCCCACACCAATACCAAATAAGTAGAATACGAAAAATTATTTCATGATGGATGTAATGATGCTGATTTGATATTGTCGATATAGAATTTTTTTTCTTTCAATAATCTTTGTCAAACATATAAATGTTTGACTATTCAAAATGATAATACAGCTTATATTTTGGAGGGGGGTAAACCAAACAGAAAAGTATTGCATCGGGAAGCCTAATTCAGACTACAACTTCAAATATGTGACATTTATATGAACTAAGGTTGCAGAAAGAGCCCCGACAGCCCGTTATCTGAGAAAGAACATGAAAAATAACAGAGATTGAAGGTTGAAGAACCAATAAAATCCATGGTGGGGAATACTGGACAGAAAGAAGGTTGAAGGTTGCATAGGCAGCATTAAGTTTTATTTCAATGCACAGAAAGAAGACACGATGTTTCTTGAGGATACTGGAGATGCCAAGAATAGCTACCAATGAACGCTGACAGTCCACTAATGTTAAAGCGAGTGTCAGCGTTGCACGTACAATCTAGCTAGAAAGCCAGCTGACATAGCATGATACAACCAAGCAGGCATCAACCAGCCACACTCACCCTTCAAGTGCATCAAGAACAACAGAAGGCCACATCTACTGCAGCAAATCTGCCAGCTCATATACAACCAAGCAGGCATCAACCAGCCACACTCGGTCTTCAAATGCATCAAGAACAACATAAGAGACACATTTACTGCAGCAAATCGCTGCCATACATTCACAGCCAGTAAGAATCAAAAATAAACAATCACTGCATATTTCACATGACATAGACATGTGCAGAGCCCCTAGAGCATGGTACTGGCTCACAGGATTTAAGTTCTCCCAGCAACCACCATTTTCCCCAAAAGCACTGTACAGATCTAGCTAATTTCGCTGGTGCATGCCAATTAGGGAAAATCAATACTGACTAATAAAGTTACAACTTCAAGGTCCGTTTGTTGTGAACAACTGAGAGACACCGCCAGTCTCTTGCTAATACAGGAATTTAAACTCAACTAGGCTCGCAAAGTAAAATGGATGTAGTTAGTCAGCCAGTGAACTCAAGAACAGAAATTATAGGATACCCCTCAATTGGCACTACAAATCTACAATCCCCTGGATGAGACCCTACTGGGCGAATCCAGGAGGAGAGAGAGGGGATACCTATTTTGATGCGGAGGGGCTTGCGGGTGGCGGCGGTGGCAGGGGGCTGCGGGAGCGTGGCCTTCTTCCGGAAGAGGTTGGCCGTGCCACCCCCTGGGGCCGATGCGTTGGGGGCGCGGAGCTCGTCCTGGTCGGCGCGCAGCATCTCCGCATCCTCCTCGCCGTTGGTGCGGCCACCGCCCCTGACGGCGGCGGCGGCGGCCGGGTCGAGGTGGAGCCCGCTCTTCTCGGTGGGCCCGGCGGAGGAG